GCGGGCGGCGGCGCTGGTGCTGCTGGCGGCGGCGCTGAGCGGCCCCGGGGCCGGGGCGCGGAGCTGCCCCGCGCTCAGCCTGGGCTGCAAGTGCTCGGCCGAGCGGGCCAAGGCGGGCGGCGGCCCCGGCGCGCCCCGGAGGAGGGTGGTCTGCAGCGGCGGGGGGCTCCCCGCGCCGCCCGAGCCGCGACTGCTGCCCGACGGCACCGTCACGCTGTGAGTACCGCGAGCGGGACCGCCCCGGGCATCCCCCCCCTGCCCCCGCGGCATCACCCCCGGGCATCGCCCCCTCATCCCCACGGGCATCTCTCCCTCTGGCCCCGCACCGCCCCGCACTGCCCCGGCCGGGCGCTGCTGCCCCGGGGAGCCCCGGGAGGTTCGAGAGCCCACGCGCGGGTGGCGCTGAGCCCGCTCCGTGCTCCGCTCCGTGCGGGGGGACCTCGCATCGCCCCCTGCTCGGGGAGGTGCTGGCGGGACACGGGAGCCGGGGGGTGAAGCCCCTCGGGGTCGGGGAGCGCAATGAAGTTACTTTTTTCTCTCGGTAAGCGCCTCTGCACACGCTCGGTGCTGCGTAACGTGGTTTAAATCGCGTTAAAAGGAGAGTCGCGGCTCTGGACCCCGCTGTCCTCGGGGCTGGTGTGGACGTGAGCTGGAAATCCAGGAAACGGGCTCCTTCTCCCGCTTCCCTCCGCGGCGTTTCTGAGCGCTGGGGAGGATGTTTTTGTTTGAAAGTGGCTGTTCTCGCTGGAAATACTTACCGAGAAGCGACAAGGAGCGGTTAATGGGTTTGGAGTTTGTGCAAAGGGTCTAAAGCTGCTGCTTGGTCCCTAAAGGCTCCTCTTCCTCACGCCCCCCTTGCCGGGGGTTGGGGTTCAGCCGGCGCTGGCAGCCGTGCGGTGCTCGCTGCAGGGTTTATTTATAACTCCGGAGGAGATGTTTGAATTAAAATCTGGATGGGAGGCTGGGCTGGCAGAGCTGCAGCTGAGGGGAACGTCGCCTTCACCCAGGGTGTCATCCCGTCAGGGTGGGCAGCCCACACCAGCATGCCCGTGGTCGTGGCTCCCACTTTCCGCACCTCGGGAAGGTTTGGTTGGACTCTGTGGAGGGTTGGGGGCTGCCGAGCTCCTGGTGCCGTCCATCCCCACATGCTGGAACCCTCTCGATCGCATTGCTGTTGCTCTGGTTCCCTGGGTGCCAATCATTGCACGGGGTCCTCGCTTCGGGGTGGTGGTGGCAGTGAAGGAGACCCTGCTGATGCCACTGTCCCCATGTGGAATGTGGCTGTGGAACACCCCTGTGCTGTAGGGTGGGGCCACGAGCAGGGGCTGTGACAGTCCCATCAAAAGCATGAAGTTGCACTGGAGTAACAGCACCGATGGGTGACCCCGGCACCCCTTGGTGGGGGACTCTGGGTGGCTGTGGGCAGGTGACAGCTGGGCTCTCCGTCACATCCCGAGCTTTGCTCCTCGTGCCTTTGCTCCTACAGCCCTTCCTTGTGCGTCAGCCCCTTGCAGACACCCGTGGGGATGTTTAGTCCCTTGTCAGTTTGTATTTGGGAAAGGCAACCCGTCCCATGCCTGCTCCGGTGCCCTCTCCAGCTGTTCCCAGTGGGGCAGAGGGTTTGTGCCGCCTGTGCTGGGCTGGCTCCCTTGGAGGGGCCGGGATGACGGTGCAGAAGCATTTAGGGCATTACACGATCCCACTAAAACGTGACATGAAACCTACAGGCGTAGGCAGAAACCTACAAATATGCGGTGACCCTGGCTCTGCTCTCGCGCAGTAAACATGATTTATTCCAAACCCTTTCCAGATGGAACAATCAAAACCAGAGGCTCCGACTTTGGGAGCGTCTCCTGGAGCCACTGGGGTGCGGGCAGGGAGCGGAGGGGCCCGGGCACGTGGCAAGGGCTGCACGTGCCTTGGGGACACCCTGCTGGGGACAGCCAAATCCCGAATCCTGCGGGTGAGCCGGGTCTGGGCAGGGCTCCTACGCGTGCCCCGGGGTGCTGGGTCCCAGCTGTGCCCTGGGGGGCTCAGGCCCTCTCCGTCCCCCGGGGTGCTCAGCATCGCTGTTGGCCCAGCTGCAGGAAGCGTGGGGCGTGGTTGGGGCAGTAATGCTTCAAAGCAGAGCCGTGTTCCAGTCCTCATCCAGCCCAGCCTGGAGGCAGGAGTGCCTGAGTGCACGGGGGAGGCTCTTCCCAGCAGCCTCCGGCGCGGGAGGGATCTGGCCCGGCCACGGCTCCGTCTGTCTGGGCAGTGGCCGGGGACAGGCGGACGGCCAGGGGAGGTCGGGTGGCTGGAGGAGGTCTGTCTGTCACCCTGTGGGTCCCTCCTTCAGCTTTTTCCCACACTCTCGCTTTACTTCTTTATTTATCTTTAATTATTAGGCCTGTGCTGAGGAATCTTGTTCTGCCTCCTCGGCAGCTGCTGCGCATTTACCCCCCACCCCGTGCCTGAGAAACACTCGCTGGCATCGCAGCAGGGACAGGGGACAAAGGATGAGGGGACAAAGTGCACCCTGGGGACCTGCAGCCACCACTGGGCTCGGCCTCGGTCCCAGTGTCCCAGACACACGTTGGTGTCTGATTGGAAACATTTTCCAAGCAGAGCTGTGTCTCCTTCCTCTTCATTTGGCTCCTCACAGGGATCACCAGGAGCCAGCACAGGGACACATGTGGGGTCTGGTGAGCGGGGTGATGCTCACAAACCCCCCGCAGCCCCAGCAGACATTACACGCACAGCCTGTGCTCTCTGACACCCGCCCCAGTTTATACCCAGAGTTTCATTCCTACCCCCAGCTCCCCGCAGGGAGGAAGGAGGAGCCCCAGCCCCGGTGTCACCCTGTTCTGACGTGGCCCTGCGGAGCTCACCCGGCTGTTTTGGCAGGGCTGGCACCGATGCAGCCTGGGGCAATCCCCCAGCCCCACACCCTGCTCCTGTTGGGGCCGGGGGATTTGGGACCTCTTGGCGTGGCTGTGAGGTGCCGGGGCACCGCAGCCGTGGATTAACAAGGCTTTAATCCCCCCCAGCTGACCCCTGTGCTAATCGGCCGGTGGAAAAAGCGCCATATCCCTAACGAGGGCTGGAGAGCCGTGGCCAGCCCCGCTGTCACACGGGCGGGAGCCCAAACCTCTTCCAGATGTGGAATCCCAGCACAGGCCTCATTTATGTGCACAGCTTGATTGCACTGAAATTACAGATTGTCTGCAGGGAATAGAGGGCTTTGACTTATGACCAATTTCCAGTTCTACTTGAACTCCCCGCTCCAAGGCCGCTCTATCCTGGGCCCTGCAGATGGTTGCTTTCTGAAACCTTCCTCAGCTTTTTATTTGTTGTTTATTGGGCTGCAGCTCCACCAGGTTTGGGTTTTCCAGGGTCTCAGGGTCGTGGTGCTGCCCCGTGCGTCGGAGCATCCCAGCCCACGCCGGCTCTGGAGGCTTCACCCTCTCTCCGGGGCTTATTTTTCCTGTGCTAACAAAAGCCGAGGCTTGGAACAATAATTTTCACCATCCGAAATAGCCCGGAGTGACGTGAGGCTGGAGGCAACGCCCGGGCATGGGCGGGGCAGGGAACAGCCCCTGAGCACCCAAACAAGGTGGGGACGGGGGTCCCAGCCAGGGCTGGGGGGGTCTCCAGTCCCATTGGGCTGGGAGCCATGGGGTCCCCTCTGGGATCCTGCAGGGTCTCCCCTGGGATGCAAGGTCCCTCCCTGGAGCTGTGGGGCCCCCCCGGGATGTTGTGGGGTCCCCCTGGGAGCTGTGGGGTCCACCCTGGGATGCGGGTTCCCCCCTGGGATGCTGCAGGGTCCCTCTGGGTTGCTGCCTGTCCTCCCCTGGGATGCTGCCGCCCCCAGAGCCCTCCCTGCTGCCAGAGCCCTCGGCACCTCTCACCAGCCCCGGGGCCCCTCTTTTCTCTTCCCCAAATCCCTCTGCAGAGCAGCGAGCCGTGCTCGGGGCGCAGCCTGCGCCGTATCTGCTGCCGGCATATGCTTTGAATTAATGCACTTGGAGAGCAGAGCCGGGCCGGGTCCCCGCCCCCACCGCGGCCCCCCCAGGAACCTCCCTGCCCGGGCTGGGGAGCCACCGTCTCCCCGCGTCCTTTTTTGGTTGGGTCCAGAGGAAGTTTATTGTTTCAGCAGCCCAGTTTCTGGAGCTGTTATTTATCCAAGTGGATTCCAGCACGCTTGAAAAAACAATCTTGTTTTTTTCGCTTTTGGCTCCTCTTTTTGAGATGAAAAAAGAAGAGAAGAAGAAGAAGGAGTCTGTATCTCCCTGCTGGCAGCCTCGTGGGCTCCAAGCCCCCCCAGCCCCGGCACGGGGGGGGTGGTTGGAGCGTGGATGCTGCACCCCTTCCAGGGCCGGATCCCCCGGGATGGGAGGATGCTCCTCGGGGCTCTCCCCGCCGTCCCCACCACGCATCCCCCATCGTTTCCGTTTGACTCCGTGCTCTGGTCCTTAATCCCTGCATTGTCCGAAGGGACTTTTCCAGCCGCCGCTCAATTAGCCAATTATTGTCCCCGTGGCGGGGCTGTCCCTGACGGGAGCCCCCCACCCGCCCACACTCCCCGGGGCCGGAGGGTCTCAGGGCACTGGGCAGGATGAAGGCTCCGTTTCGGGTGGGAGAGGCTTGGGGGTGGTCGGGCACTGAGGGCTGGGGAGATCCCCAGCCCTTCCCACCCGGCACATCACTCCGAGCCCGGGCTGGGCGTTCCTCTTGCTGAGCTGAGGGGTCCCATCCCCTCTCCCCCTAAGGTGATCCCTCCTCCCCGGGGCAGTTCTTGTGGTTTGAAATCCAGCTGGGGGTCTGGTTTCGTCCCTGCGTGGGGTCCCCAGTGAGACTCAGGGGCTGCTGGCCTGTGACCCCTGTGTGTTGGGTCAGGGTGGCCCAGCAGACACACTGATCCTCTGGTATTTTGGGGTTTCTCAGGTAATCTCAGGTGGTGAGGGCCTGCACAGGGCTCTGCTGCCTGCAGACACGTGAGAGCGGAAAGTCCTGTGGAGCCTGATGAGAACTTCCTGGGAAAAAAAAAAAACAACAACAAAACACAACAAAAAAAAACCCAAAAAATGAACAGAAAACAATTGGGAACATAATATCCATGAAACTAGAGAAAACAAAACAAACCCGTGTTGGAGGATGTGGCTGGCTTCTGTGGGGCAGGGAAGAGAAGAGCCAGGATCCCTTCCCAGGAAGGGTTTTACCGGGAAAGAAAAGTTTTGGGCAAACTGTTGCTGTCGGCGCAGCTTTTTGTGTCAACCGCTTGTTTTGGGCAAGGATCTCTGCTCTTTTGGAGCTCAGGGTGTCTGTCCCACACCGTGCCGGTTCTGGAGGGGCTCCAGGGGTGGCTTTGCCGAGGTGGCCCCCAGGGGTGGCTGATCCCGTTGGATTGCGGGAGCGTTGCCTTTTAAGGCGGGAGACATGGAATGGCAGAGGTGCAGATGGTCCCGGGGGTCCGAGAACAGAGAGAGTGTCCCCGGGGCTCGGCCTGGGGCTGCATTCCCAGCGGGGCTGCATTCCCAGTGGAGTGCAGCTCCCTGGTGCTCCAGCCCTCCCGGCTCTGCCCACCACACTGGGGCATGGCCGTGGCCGTGTCCCCCTGCACAGCCAGTGCTTTGGGTTGTGAAATCTCCTGCTGCTGGAATGAAAACCTCCTGGAGCCGCTGGGGCATTGAGCAACAGCCCCCGCCGACACCGTGACGGGGAATTGGGGCACACTGAGGGGTGCTGTGGCCCAGAGCTGGGGCTTTACGGGGAGCGGTGGTGCTCTGGAAACATCCCTGCTGCCCCCTGCTCTGGGAAGGGTCCTGGGCTGAGCCGGCACCGCGGTCGCTGCTGGGGCGAGCCGAGCCCCGGCAAAGAGGGGTCCCGGCAGGGAGGAAGGGGTCAGACACGGCCCCGGCAGGTCCGGCCGCCGGTGTGTGGAAGCAATTTGCGGCCGTCGGGGCTGCCGGACGCTTCCGCTCCCCGCCGGCCGGGGCGAGGGTCCCGCGGACGCGCCGGTGCCCGGTGGCGGCTCCTCATTAACACAGGATGCGGGGGCCGCGCTGCCGGACCCCGGCCCTTCCCTCCCAGCCAGCCCGGGGGGGTGGCAGCCCCCCTCCCGAGCCGGGTCTGGTCCTGCCCGTGAGCCGAGCGTGGCCGCGCGTCCGGGCGGGACGGGCTGGCAGCACACAGCCCCCATTCAGCCCGGCCGCCGGGCCCGCCGTGTGTAAACAGCCCCGGCCCGGCCCTCAATGAGCCCTTTTTTCCCCGCGCCTCCCCCCCGGCCGAGGCTCCCGGGTGCCCTCCCGGCCCCGGCCGCCGCCTGCCCCGGCTCTGCCGCCGGGTCACATTTGCCGGCGCTGGCGTCGCCGGTGCCCACGCGGCCGCCCGGGAGGCACCGCCGGTCCCCGAGAGCCGCGTCTGGCTCTGCTAATTGCAGCTTTAATGAGGTCCTGGCTTAATCGTCGGGTGCTGGTGCCCTCCGTCCGCTCCCGTCTCCCCACAAGGGCCCCTTCGGCCGGCAAAGCTGTTTATTTTGGAACAGAATCTCAGGGCCGGGAGGCTCCCGGGGTGGCCGCAGTGCTGTGACCAGCAGGAGCTGGGGGGTCCCCTCCTGGCTGCAGGTCCTCGGGGTGCCCTGGGTGCTGGGGTGGGGGTCATCGCCCACCCGTGCAGCTCCCAGGTGATGCCCCAAGAGCTGGCACGGGGACCACGTGGTGTTCCATGGCATGAGGACCATGCAGAGCATCCCATGGTCCCACCTGGCCGTTCGAGCCTGTCCCTGAGAGTTCAGTGGCACAGTGTCCCTTGTTCCAGTGGCACAGCTGGGGCTGTGGCTTCTCACAGGGGGGTCTGGCTGTTCCCACTCCCGTCCAGCCCCCAGGTCACCAGGGCACAGCCGGGGGTCCATGGCAGGTCAGGTAACGAGGCTGCCTCTCTCCCTTTGCTCTTCCCACAGGCTGCTGAGCAACAACAAGATCACGGTGCTGGAGAATGGCTCTTTCTTCGGGCTGCGGGCTCTGGAGAAGCTGTGAGTGCCCGGCAGGCAGGAGGGTGGGACACAGCAGGGTGCAGGCAGGGCTTCCATGGGGTGGGAACGGAGTGGGTGCCGGCATCACCACCCACATCCCACTCCTGGTGTCGTTCCTGGGAGCTGCGGCAGGACTGGCACCCCGGGGCACAGAATTTGCCGCCGGCACCCACGGGCAGCCCAGGGACCCCGGGAGCTGCGGCGGGGCAGGAGGCACCGGGGGGGCCGCGCTCCGTGAGGGCCGGTATGAAAAGCGACATTGTCCCCCCGAACAAAGTCAACTTTCTTATCTCTCCATGAAAGGCATCTCTATGGAGGGAGCTGCGAGGAGGGGAGATTTATGGCCCCCATATGGGTTTGATCTGTAGGTATGCAGGCGCGGGGACCGGCACTGAGGGCGTTTTGTTCCCCGCCGAGGTCTCGCGCATTCCGGCGCCCCGCGGGCTCCCGTGGAAATCCCCGCGGGACTGGTTTTGGGGTGAGCGGGAAGCAACCACCTTGGGGGCACCATCCCACACGGCCAAGTCCTCCCCAGCGTAGGTCCAGGCCTGGGGTCAGTTCCTGCCCCTGGCACCGAGCTCTCATTAATGCTGAGGAGCAGTGAGGGGGCTCCTGGGGAGGACCCAGGCTCTGCAGCCCCCAGGGTGTCCAGGATCCCCCTAAAGGTCTCTGTGCCCCGGGAGAGCAGCCACCCCAGGTCACCTTCTGCTCACCACGGGGTCGGAGGGGTCCAGGGAGGGTGGGCAGCACTCCCTCACCCCGGGCCAGCCACATCTCCCTGTGCAGCTCCTGATTGCCCTCGACAGGAGCTGTAATTGTTTTCATCAGGTCCGTTTGGGGCCACGGCACAGACGTGCCCCGTGGAGAGTCCGGCTGGTGTGGGGGGGACACAACAGGGGCTCCAGGACCCCTTGCTGTTCATCTTGGGGCTCGCAGGGCCCCTGCTCACTCTGGCTGCCCATCGTGGGTGCTTCAGAGTCCCAGCGTGATGGGGAGAACAGATTCCCGGGGTCTCAGCGGTGCCCCCATGGACCACTGCCCCTCCGGGCTTGGCATCTCCGGTGATTTGTAGCGGCGTAATGAGATTAATGAGTCTGAGCGGGGCCGGTATGTGGCGGCGGCCTCATTAGCACAGCCCCGCTCGGGAATGGCCCCGGGGGGCTGCGAGGGGGCTCGGCGGGTGACAGAAGGGACAGGGATGGACTCTGTCCCTTCATCTGCCTCTGTCTGAGCTGGGCTGAGGCGGGTGCCCAGGTCTCCCTCGGTGTGTGCAGGTGGGTGTTTGCAGGGCGGGTGTTTGCAGTGTGCCTGTTGTTGGTGGCGGTACAGGTGAGTGGAGCTGTTCCTTCAGCACCAGCGCTCACCTGTGCACACCTGCCTGCACACCTGCCTGCACTGCTGGCCGTGGGAGCTGCCGGGACGTGCATTTGCTGCTCGGGAAGGCAGGGGATGGCAGGCATGTGCAGAGCCGTTGCATCAGCCGAGTGGGGCCGGGATGACGCCGGCTGCGTTTCCTCTCCCTGCAGGGCCCCTCATGTCTCTCTGGCTGGACTCCCACCCCCCTGCACTCTGGCTCTGCTGGAAGGGGTTGCACCGCTCCTCATCCCAGGCACTGGCTCCCGGCCCTGCAGCGGGGCTGTGGTTGATGGGGTGTCCCCAGGGCCGCAGGCAGAGCAGCGGGAGACCCAGCGCCGAGCTCCCTGGAGACTGCTATAAATAAACACGGATCCATATGGATCCCATTTCCTCTCCCGGCCAGTGCCGGTGCTCGGCAGGAGTTGCCTCGGGTCCCAGGGGCTGGATGGAGCGGCTGATGCCACCAGTGCTGCCAGCCCTGCTGGCAGCCTGACCAGCCCCTGATTAGATACGTGCCTGCAATCGGGCTAATCACCCAAATGAGCTTCCCAAGGGCCACAGAGCCCATCCAGGGCCGTGCTCTTGTCCCAGACGCAGGAGATAACCCACTAGGATATGGCTGTTCTGGAAGCAATGTGGGGCCAATGCTGGCAGCTAATGCCAATGTGCAGGGGCACGTGATGCTCCTTGGTGCACTCGGAGTGTGCCGAGGGGCTGGCATCCCCCTGGGAGCAGCGAGGAGCCTCGTGCCTTCCCTGCACCCTTCAGAGAGCTAACGAGAGGGAAATGGGATGGAAAACTGCTAATGAGGCCCTTGTAGGGTGTTTGCAGTGCCTGGGGGGGCTGAGGAAGAAGATGAGGGCTGGGAGTGGATCAGGTGCACTTGTGCCCTCGGCCCCCCTGCATTGTGTCTCCTGGGGAAAGGGCTCCCCATGTCACACCCCAAGGTCTGTGTCTGTCTCCCCACAGGGACCTGAAGAACAACCTGATCAGCACAGTCCAGCCGGGCGCCTTCCTCGGCCTCCCCGAGCTGAAGCGGCTGTAAGTGCCAGCACAACCCCCCGAGAGCACATGGGGCTGGCCCTGGGGACAGCGGGGACAGCGGGGTGTCCCCAGCCCTCACAATCCCTCCGCTCACCTTGCAGGGATCTCTCCAACAACCGCATCGGCTGCTTGAGCGCCAGCGTCTTCCAGGGGCTCCCCAACCTCCTCCGGCTGTGAGTAGCTCCCTGGGGTCATCCTGGCCAGCCCTCCCCCCTGGCTCCTGAGAGGGGGGCAGCGTGAGGGCACAGCGAGGGGGCAGGGAGGCGTCCCCTCTCCCAGCAGGTCCCCGTTCCCCTCCATGCCACCTCTCTCTCCTGTCCCGCAGGAACATGTCCGGGAACATCTTCTCCAGCCTCCCGCCCGGCGTCTTCGACGAGCTCCCCTCCCTGAAAGTCGTGTGAGTTTGCGCCCCGGGATTTTGGCACCGGGGGGGGATGCGGGGGGGGATCCCCGCCGAGGGTCTCAGGGCCGGCGCGTGACCCCCGTGAACGCCGTCCCTCGCAGGGACTTCGCCACCGAGTACCTGACGTGCGACTGCAACCTGCGCTGGGTGCTGCCCTGGGCCCGCGACCGCTCGGCGCAGATCTCGGAGCGGACGGCGTGCGCGTTCCCCCGGCAGCTGCGCGGCGTGGCCCTGCGCGGGGCGCGGGACGGGCAGCTCCGCTGCGGTGAGCCCGGGGCCGGGGCCGGGGCGGGGGCAGCTCCGCTGCGGTGAGCCCGGGGCCGAGGTGGGGGTGGCGGCGGCGGCGGGGGGCTCACCTGTGTCCCCCGCAGCGGGCGCCCCGGAGCTGCACACCCACCACCTCATCCCGTCGCTGCGCCAGGTGGTTTTCCAGGGCGACCGGCTGCCCTTCCAGTGCACGGCCACGTACCTGGACAACAGCACCCAGATCCGGTGGTTCCACAACCGCGAGCCCGTGGAGGAGGACGAGCGGACGGGCGTCATCGTGGAGGAGAGTCTCATCCATGACTGCACCTTCATCACCAGGTCAGGGGTGGGGACCGGGATGGGGATGGGGATGGGAACGAGATGGGGACAGGGATGGAGATGAGATGGGGGTGGCAATACAGGCCACATGGAGATGGGGATGGGGACAGACACTCGTGGCCGCAGGACTCGCAGGTTTGCAGGTACTGAGTGCCACGAGAGGGCTGCCAAGTGTGGGCACCTCCTGTGCTTCATGGTGTGGGTCCCCGAGCCCCCAGGCCTGGGGGACCCACTGCCGCAGGCTCGCCGTGGGGCAGCCCCACCATGCCAGCCCGTCCCCTCTGCCCACAGCGAGCTCATCCTCTCCAACATCCACGTCTCCGCCAACGGCGAGTGGGAATGCGCTGTCTCCACCTCCCAGGGCAACGTCAGCAAGAAGGTGGAGATCGTGGTGCTGGAGACCTCCGCGTCCTACTGCCCTGCCGAGCGGGTCACCAACAACCGCGGGGACTTCAGGTGGGGGACGCACGTGGTCTTGTGCCACGTGGAGAGCAAGGGCGGGCGGGGGGCTCTCCTCGCCTCCCCTCGCCCCGCCGCAGGTGACCGGGCGTCTGGTAGCGATTAGCGGCCGTGGGGAGAGCGCGCGCTCGCTTTTGAAGGGCTTCCCGTGCCGGCGGCGCAGCCTGGCTCCAGCAGCAGAGGTGTTGGAATTTCTCTGGCACGAGACGAAAGGCTCCGGGCGCCCGCCCGTAACCCCGGCGGGGCCCTTACGGAATATAAATTACTGGCACGGCCAATGTGGCTTAAATTAGCGGGTGCCCCCCCTCCGCCCCCGCTGCCTCCCCCCTGCGCTGCCAGGGCCGAGCAGGATACAGGATTGGGGGATTTTTGGGGAGCATCACCCTCAGCCCCCACCCTGGAGCACAGGAGAGGTGGGGGCTTGCTGGAGGGTGTCGGGGGCTGCGGTGCTCGCGAGTGGCGCTGGGCAGGGGGTGCACGGGGGGGGGAACGCTGGTGGCGGGTGCCCCACGGTCACCATGTGTGGGTGCCCGCAGGTGGCCCCGCACCCTGGCGGGTATCACGGCCTACCAGCCCTGCCTGCAGCACCCGTTCGCCGCGGGGCCGGCGGGCGCGGGCGCGGCGGGCGAGAAGCAGGCGTGGAGACGCTGCGACCGCGCCGGGCGCTGGGAGGACGGCGACTACTCCCACTGCCTCTACACCAACGACATCACCCGCGTGCTCTACACCTTCGTGCTGGTGAGTGGAAGGGCTGGGGGGCTTGGCTGGGGCTGGGGGGGGCAGGCACAGCCGGTGACTTTGCCCCCACCATGCTGCACTGCAGATGCCCATCAACGCCTCCAACGCCCTGACCCTGGCGCACCAGCTCCGCGTCTACACGGCCGAGGCAGCCAACTTCTCCGACATGGTGGATGTCCTCTACGTGGCCCAGATGATAGAGAAGTTTATCGGCTACGTGGACCAGATCAAGCAGGTAACGAGTGGTGCAGCCGTCCCCTGCTTGCCCCAGCGCTGCCCCGTGGTTTTGGGGTGGAAAAGCGTGAACTGGGGTGTTTTCCCGTGGGACGGCGGCAGCTCTTTGCAGAGCCACTCACTGTCCCCGCAGCTGACGGACGTGATCGTGGAGATGGCCAGCAACATCATGCTGGTGGACGACCACATCCTGTGGATGTCGCAGAAGGAGGAGAAGGCCTGCACCAGCATCGTCCGCTCCCTGGAGAGGATCGCGGCCCACACGCTGGGCAGCAACTCCCAGCACATGGCGGTGGTGAGGGGGGGCTGGAGAGGGAGGACGAAAAATTGGGGGGCTGGTGTCAGGTCTCTGCCTGTGCCAGGGGTCTCTCTGGCTCTGCCAGGGGTCTCTCTGGCCGTGCCAGGACCGATGACCCCCCCACGGCGCTGTGCCCGGCAGAACTCCCGCAACATCGCCTTCGAGGCGTACGTGGTGAAGCCCGAGAGCTACGTGGGGCTGAGCTGTGTGGCGTTCCAGCGGCGGGACGGGGCTGCACTGGGACGTGTCCCCCCGGCCGAGCGGGGGGCCGAGCCCGTGCCCGACCAGCAGCTCCGGCTGCGCTGCACCACGGGGCGCCCCAACGTCTCCCTGACCAGCTTCCACATCAAGGTACGGCTACGCCGGGGGCCGGGGGGGGGCCGGGGGTCGACCCCTGCTCACCGGCGACCCTGCGCCCGCAGAACAGCATCGCCCTGGCCTCCATCCAGCTGCCCCCCAGCCTGTTTGCCAGCCCGGCCTCGCCCGCGCCGGGGACTGACTGCAAGCTCCAGCTGCTGGTCTTCCGCAACGGGAAACTCTTCTGCAGCACCGGGAACTCCTCCCGGCTGGCCGACGACGGCAAACGCCGCAGCGTGGCCACCCCGGTCATCTACGCAGGGACCTGTAAGGGCGGCGTGGTGCGGGGACTTGGGCTGCCCTGGGGGTGCTTTTCCTGGGGGATGGAGCTCCGTGGGCTTCTTGGGGTGTTGGTGGGGTGTTCCTGCAGCGCAGAGCCATCCCTGGGGTTCTCGTGGAGAGGTGGGATGTGGGGGGGGGTGTCCCTCATGCCCAGCCCCTTTTTGGGTGCAGGTGGAGGGGTGTCGCTTGTCCTGCTGACCGGGTTTCTCTGTTGCTGCAGACGGCTGCGGAGTGGGAAACCTGTCGGAGCCGGTGGCCGTATCCCTGCGGCACCCCGGGGAGGGCGCGGACCCCGTGGCCGCGTACTGGAACTTCGAGGTGCTGGGGGGCATGGGGGGCTGGAGCGCCGAGGGGTGCCAGCTGGCTGCCCGTGAGCCCAACGTCACCTCCCTGCACTGCCGGCACCTCAGCAATGTGGCCGTGCTCATGGTGGGTGTGGGCGAGCGGTGGGGCCGGGAGCCTTGCCGGGGTGGGGGGGATGTGGAGCCTGAGGGCTGCAGCGGGGGATGTGGGGCGGGGACAGGGGGCAGGGATGGTGACGTGGGGTGTGATGGGCTGTGCTGTGCCCTGCAGGAGCTGAGCGGGTTCCCCAGCGAGGCGCGAGGCGCCGGGGAGGTGCTGCACCCGGCCATGTACACCTGCACAGCCGTGCTGCTGCTCTGCCTCTTCACCACCATCATCACCTACATCGTCCACCACGGGTGAGGGAGCAACTTGGTGCCCACAGAGGTGGCTGGGGGTGCTGTGCCGGGGTGGGTGTCTCCCTGGCAGCTGGAGGGGCTCCCCAGGTGCCAATGGCCAGAAGGAAAGTCCGTGGGGATAGTCATCCAGGGAATGAGGCCCTTTAGGACATGGGCTCTCAGGAGATGACTCTCCAGGAATGTCCTGCCTGGCAAGTGGCACTGCCCCAGGAGCCGTGGGTCCTGGTCCTTTGCCCACGTGCACACGTGTGCCTATACAGCTTCCCCACCAGCCACGCTCCGTGGCCAGGGACAAGCTGTTGGCCTGGGCCTCTGGATGCAGGGTCTGTGCCGGCGGGAGCCGTGGCTCTCTCAGGGCCGGGCAGGAGCTCACAGGTACCGGCCGTGCCTCTGGCTCTTCCAGCACCATCCTCATCCCGCGGAAGGGCTGGCACATGCTGCTCAACCTCTGCTTCCACATCGCCATGACGGCCGCCGTGTTCGCGGGAGGCATCACCCTCACCGGGTACCGGATCGTGTGCCAGGCGGTGGGTACCGGGCAGAGGGACGGGCAGAGCCCAGCGCTGTGCAGGGCGGTGACCGGGGGGGACACAGCCATGTCAGCAGCACCCCCTCCCCAACCGTGGCCTCTCCCACAGGTCGGCATCATCTTGCACTATTCCTCCCTCTCCACCCTGCTCTGGATGGCGGTGAAAGCCCGAGTGCTCTACAAGGAGGTGACCTGGAAGGCGCCGCGGCAGCCGGACGGGGACGCGTCCCAGGCAGCCCCCAGACCCATGCTGAGGTACAGACCCCCCTTCCCCTCGCCCTGGCCTGGGGGGAGCTGTGGGAGCACCTCCTGCCCCACGCCCAGGGGCTGGGGTGGGACTTGTTCTGTTGGGCAAGTCCATCCCGTGCTCTCCTGAGGGCTGCAGGGCTGCAGTGACACCGTCCCTCCCCGTGCAGGTTCTACCTGATCGCCGGCGGGATCCCCCTCATCATCTGCGGGATCACGGCAGCCGTCAACATCCACAACTACCATGACAACAACCCCTAGTAAGTGTTCCCGCTCCACATTCCTTCCTCCCCACACGGGTGGCCTCCCTCCGCTGGGGCAGGGAACTGGGAATCTGGGCAAGATGGGGAAAAGCCAAAAGTGAGGTTTTTCCCAAGAGTTATCCACGTATTGAGGAAAAATCAGCCAGGCAAGCAGCACGGCCCTGCAGAGCCTGTGCCATCAGGGCAGGGCTGCTGAGCACCTCCACGCCACGACCCCTCATTCCCCTCTCGTCCCGCACAGCTGCTGGCTGGTGTGGCGGCCCAGCCTGGGAGCTTTCTACGTCCCCGTGGCTTTCATCCTGCTCGTCACCTGGATTTACTTCCTCTGCGCCGGGCTCAGCCTCCAGTGCCGACCCTTACGCCGGAAAGACATCCCGGAGCCACTGGAGCCACCGCCACGGCTGGGGGGCACCGGTGACCTCCTGACAGACTCTGGGTCCATCTCGGTGACACTGAACTCGGGGCCACCCTGCCCCGAGGGGGACGGTGTCTACTCCCTGCGGGTGCAGTTCTGGGCGCTGGTGACCACCCACGCCTTGTACGTGGCGCTGTGGACGTTCGGCGCCATGGCCGTGTCCCAGCGCTGGTACCTGAACATTGTCTTCAGCTGCCTCTACGGCGTCACCGCCGTGGCGCTGGGGCTCTTCATCTTCGTCCATCACTGCCTGCGGCGCCGGGACGTGCTCAGCTCCTGGTTCTCCTGCTGCCCGTCGTACCGGAACGCGCTGCCCATGCAGGCCTACGTCCACCCCGGGCTGGGGCCGGAGGACGGCTCGCAGGTCTTCATCGGCTGCGACCCGGAGGCAGCTCGTTCCGGTGCCTCCTCATCCTCCTCGCCCAGCAGTGCCGGCTCGGCCGGGGGCCGCTGCAAGCTCACCAACCTGCAGGTCGCCCAGAGCCAGGCGGACGCCCGCCCGGCCGCCTGCCTGGAGCCGGATGCCGCCGACGGGAAGCCCACGAGGCACGCCAGCAACCTCCACGGCCGCAGGAGCCACCGGGGCAGAACTAAGCCGTGCCGGGACGGGAAGCACCACCGCTTGAAAATGCTGCGGGGCCCCTCGGAGCACCCGTCCAGCGAGAGCGGGAGCCTCCACAACAGCCACTCCGAGAGCTACCCCAGCGGCAGGACCAGCCCGGCCAGCGGCGGCCGCGCGGGGCCGCGGGGGCCCCAGGACGGGGAGGCGGCCGCCAGCCCCTCGGAGGGCAGCGACGGCGGGCGGCGGGCGCCCGACTTCGCCGAGGGTCGCCGGAGGAGCGCCAGCCGGGACAGCCTGAGGCCGGGCGGTGCCGCTGAGAGGGAGGCCAAGCGCCGCTCCTACCCCCTGAACGTGGGCAGCCACAACGGCGGCCTCAAGGGCAGCAAGTACGACATCAACCTGGCCAGCGCCGACGGCGTGGCCGGCATGAAGACCGGCCTCTGGAAGAGCGAGACCACCGTGTGAAGGGCGGGGAAGGACCGATGGCCACGGCGATCTCCTCCGGGAGCTGCTCTGCGGGAATCACCACGTGCACTAGCAGGGACGGGCGGCACAGCCGGGGGGCTCCAGTGACCCCAGGTGACCCCACCTGTCCCCCCCCCGCCCCGAGGAGGCTCCGAGCTTCCCGCGGTGGTGCCGGGTGGGGGCTCCAGGCAATCCTTGCAGGAACTGCGACTGTGCTTTAATCACTCCGGCGTGTCGCTCGAGACTGATCCTAAATGCTATTTTATATTATACAGAGGAAATGTCTATTTTTCAAAGCTATATTATTGAATGTATATATATATGTATAGACAGTGCCGTAAGTGGCGCGAGGGCCTCGCTCCCCACCCGCGTTCCCCGGGAGGGGGTGGGCACTGGGCCAGGGCCCGCTCGTGCCACGACTGCAATATTCCCGCTGAGGGACCACCCCAAGTGCCCTTCACGTCCAGACACCGCAGCCCCAGCCTGAGCAGGCGGCTGCTGGAGAGCAGCTGCTCCCTCTGGAGTGGTTTTATCTGGTGTTCAGCCCCGGCGGTTGGGCGGTGCCAAAGCCATACTGCAAACCCAAGCACAAGGTAAGAGGAGCCTCAGCTCCAAGGTGAGGATCACCTCGATTGTCTGCACTGCTTTAATGCCAGACACTAAAGTCACGGCCAGGAAGGGCTCCCAGGCCCTCGGAGGCACAAGCCATGCAGTGGGGTGGGCTGGTGGAGCCGGGACTGACCCTCTGCACCAAAGCACCAAAGAACCAAGATGTGTGACAAACCCAGAGCAGAAAATAGTCGGGTTTGCTCTTAGGAAGGCAGAGAAACCTCCCTGGGGAGCAGGGACCATTCCTGGGAATGCAGGATAACAATGCCAAGGAATTAGGGACCTTCCTCAGACAGTTCCCACGATGCAGTCAAAGGGCTGGAACCTGGATAAGCACTTACTGTTCCCATTGAAAAACAAGTCCCCCCCTTTTTCCCAGCAGGCAGGTAAAACAGCCAGGCCCCAGGGAGGGCTGCAGCAATGCAGGACGGGAGTCTGGTGCCACCTCTGCCCTTTCCAGCCTCCCCTGCCTCAGCTTCCCCTGCGTGCAAATGAGTTTTATTACACAGCTACCTCCGAGGGGTCGTGGGGCCGGCGGGGGCCACGAGCCAGGGGAGGAAAAAGCACTTAGTGGGGCTTGGTCTCACCTCAAAACCCCTCAACCCGCAGGGCTGGGGCACCCCTGGGCTTAACCTGCCGCTTCCCCGCCTGCCTCGGCTTCTCTGCCCGGCTTAGATGCTTAAAAATTTCATTGTCCCTGGTATTTAACACAATTTAAACCCTTGCTGTGGCTCCCGCAGCCCCCCCAGCCTGGCTGATGCCCCGTGGTTCTATCGCTTTGCTGCACTGTGACAGTATTAGAGAAAAAGCTTCGTATTCTTAATTACACTTTGTTTTGTCTGTTTACAAGCGAACGACATATCAACAGAGCTTCCTGCAATATCCGGGGGGGAGGGAGGGGAAATATGCCAAAGAAATGTCTTTAAAGGGGTCTTTTTGCATTTTTATATGAATAGAATGTTTCTAGCAGATATGTTTTGTTTAATATATTAAAGACTTGCCAATCTGCCAAGACCCACTGTTATTTCTCTCAGACTTCCTGTTCAGTACAGCCCGGCCCTGGGGGTGGTTTTGACCCTCACAAACTCAGCTGAAGGATTAGAATTGGAAGGTGAGGCTGCCCTGGAAAACCTGGCACCTGCACTTCCATTTATTTCTATCAGAAATGTTAACACGACCCAAAGCAGTCACTCTACAAAAAGCCCCATTTTGGTCCAGAACACAAAGGAGGCCCCATCCCCACAACCCCGTGTCCCAGGCGACTGTCCCGCAGCACAACCGCTCTGTCCCTGGCAGGTTTCACACTTTTGGTCCCAAAACTGTCTCTGGACCATCCTCTGGGCCACAACTGCCTTCAGGACCAGTCCTTGGCCTTCCTGAAGGCCCGGATCTCCTCGGGGCTCCGCAGGTACTGCTCGATCTCGCTGTCAGAGATGGGCTCATCGCCGGTGACAGCCGGGTCCGGAGCGCTGGGAGCTGCCGAACGCAGCTTCTTCCTGGGATGGATGAGGCAGGGTGGGAGCAGGGGCCTCGGGAATTTCCCTGGCAAGGGACAGCCCTTCTCCTGTGCCACCAGAGGAGAGCTGGGAGAGCCCTGGCCCAGCGAGTCCTGGCCTGGGGCGCCCTTATCCAGGGAGTCCTGGCCTGCGGACCCCTTATCCAGGGAGTCCTGGCCTGGGGCATCCTTATCCAGGGAGTCCTGGCCTGGAGCATCCTTATCCAGGGAGTCCTGGCCTGGGGAGCCCTTTTCCAGGGAGTCCTGGCCTGGAGCATCCTTATCCAGGGAGTGCTGGCCTGGAGCATCCTTATCCAGGGAGTGCTGGCCTGGGGTGCCCTCACCTGGTGATCCCTGGCCTGTGGAGCCCTGGCCTGAGGCCGCACCACACTGCTGCTCCTCCCCACCCTCCTGGCAGAAGGCGTTTTTCAGCAGGAACACCCGGTGCTGCAGCAGGTCCCCCACGTGCTTCACCACAGTCTTCTTGTCCAGGCGGAAGCCGCGCAGCCAGGCCAGCTGGGAGGCCATTCCCAGCAGGATCTCCAGCAGTTCCTTCAGCCTCAGCTGGGCGGGGGGAGGCAGATCCACCCCTGCCACCCTGCAGAACCGTGCCAGGGGGCAGGAGAGGCGGGCGCGGGGCTGCAGCGACTGCCACGCCAGGAACGCCGCGGCCGTGACCACGGGCACGGGGTGCCGGCCCGTCACCAGCCACGTCTCGCTGGCCAGCTCCACAATGCCCATGGTCCGGGCCACCAGCTTCTCCTTGTCCTCCAGGAATGGGGCAGGGACGTCGGCCGAGGGCTGGAACAGCCGGAAGCTGCGGGAGCAGGGAAGCCTCGGTCACCCGGGAGATGTGGCTGCAGGGAGGCCCTCTGGGACAAACACACCCTGCCCCGGCCAGGGGCTGCTGCTCGTGGACACCAGGAGGGATTTCTTCATGGGAAGAATTGTTAAAACATCGGAAGGGGTTGCCCAGGGAGGTGGTGGAGTCACCACCCCTGCAGGTGTCCAAGGAAGGACTGGATGTGGCACTCAGTGCTCTGGGCTGGGGGACAAGGTGGGGATGGGGCACAGGTTGGACTCGATGACCCTGGAAGGTCTTTTCCAACCTCAATGATTCCATGATTCTGGAACTCATAGTACCTCCCTGAGCACCTCTCCAAACTGAGGAAATGAGAAAATCCCAGCCCAGGCGTGACAAGGGAGGCACAAAAGCCACACCTCTGTGTCACACAGCTCACCCCGGTCTGTGCCCCCTGGAAGGGGCCCCGTTACCTGCTCAGGTGTGTCTTCACCAGGTCTGCCAGGCTCAGGGCGGGCACAGAGAGCCCCAGCTCCTTTTGCAGGCTCAGGAAGACTCCGGCAAACAGGTCCTGCTTGGCGTAGAGGAGGGAGCAGATGGTGCCCATGGTCAGGGGCCAGTTGTGCTGGCGGCACGTCACGAACACGCAGCAGCCCCCCAGCAGCTCCTTCTTCTCCAGGCTGACCAGGTGGAAGGCAGGGAGCTGCAGGGCCCTCTGGAAGTAGGACACGGCCGTCTTCTCAAACACCGCCGGGAGCTGCAGGACTTTGCACAGGTCCTGGACCCGCCGGATCCCTGCGGGGAGATGTTGCCCTCAGAGGTGGGATCAGGCAGCTTCTCCTCAGGGTTCTGGAGCAGGCAGAGCTCACCCAGCCCGGGCACGGGTGCCAGAGCAGCCGGTTCCTGCACCTCCCCGTCCCTCAGAGCTGGCTGGGTGCAGCACCAGCTGCCTCATCCAGGCTCTGCCACCAGCTCCAAAGGGTCTCACCATTTTTTTTAAGAATTATAAACATGCTAAACAAGCTGGAGCAGCAGCCAGGGAGGCTCGGGGTGGGGGAGAAACGCTCTTACCTCGCTGCAGGCAGCGGCTCAGCCGCTCCTTCTGCCCAGTGCTCTGGGAATAGGCCACCTCTGGAAAACAGGGTTAGGTCAGACAGCCCTGCAGTGATCCCAGGGGGACAGTGTCGTTAGGATTTGGGGCAACCGGGACCCCACGGGGCTGGATTCCGACGATCAGAAAGGACAGAGCAGCTCAGGTGGGAGAGGGGTGGGATCCCCCCAGGGCCGGGGATTCCCCACACACGGACCCAGCCAACGGCCCACTGCACTTAAAGCTCTTCTAAGAGATTTAAACGAGATTTCGACAGCCTTTTTCATTAATAATAAGGAATCCACACCGTAAACCCCTTATAAGAGATTTAAACGCCCAGGAGCGGCTCATCAGCGGCTCCCAGCCCAAACCCCGGCAGGGAAATGCTGTGGGCGACGGAGGGAGGGGGGGACCGGCCGGTGTGACCCGGCACGGCCCCGCCGACACCGGGAGACCGCCGGGAGGGACAGGGGCGGGGGGGAGACACCGGGGAGAAGGTCAGCGGGGCCCGAGCGCGCTCCGCACCCCGCAGATGCTCCTCGTCGCTGTAGGTGGTGGTGAGCAGCCCCTCGGCCAGGACGCAGCCGCAGGCGGCGCAGACCAGCTGCTGCTGCGCGTACAGCGCGTCCTCCACCAGCGCGGCCGAGCCGCACTCGGGGCAGCGGCCCCGCGCCGCCATGGCCGCCATGGCCTCCGCCGGACCGCGGGGAGGGGGAGCGCCGCCGACAGCCAATGGCGGCGCGGCCCGGCCGCGACCCACCAATAGCGGCGCAGCCCGCGGTGCGTCGCCCCCCCCCGCCCGCCGGGCCGGGCCGCCGCGTTCCGGCGCCGCGCGTTCCGCCGCCCGCGGGGCAGGAGGAGGAGGCGGCGGCTCCTCCGGGATGCTCGGATGGACCATCCGCGCCTTCCCCGCGGGTCGCTCGGGGCGATAACAGCGCTCAGGGCTGCGGGTTGAGGCTCTAAGCTGATTTCCTCAATTCCCGCTCCTTCCAGCCCCGCCGCAGTCCGGGGCCGTGGTTGCCGCCGGGGAGCGGGGACATCTCGCCTCTCACGCGGTCATTGGGGTTTTGCCCCGCGGGAACTCTCGGCCCTGCAGGTGCGGGCGAGCCCGTCCATCAGGTTTCCCCACCCTATTTGCCTGGAGCTTCTTCCTGCACGGAACGAAACCTGCCCCGAAATACCTGGAGGATGAGCAGAGCCGGTCACAAGGGGAGGACGAGGCCCTTCTGAATCTGCTCTTTTCATAATGTGTTTATAATGCTTAAAGACAACAGCTGGGAACAGGTACCCGGAACGGCGGGTTTAAGGTGTTTTTTTTTTTATTTTTAGTGTTCCATGAAAACCAAAAAGGTGTTTAAAAACAAAACAGTACCTGGGCTAAAAAGCAGAGAGTACAAACGGGGGGGGGGGGGGAAATACATTCAGATCCTTCAATAATAATAAAACAACATATTTGATTCTTAAGGCCCTTAAAGGAAATAAAATGTCAGTCCCCTCACACCAAAGGAAGGTTTTAAGAAGTGTTGTCAATAAAAACGAGGTCCAAGGCACAAACGGTTCTCCTTTGTGACCCAGATCAGAAAAGCTGAGGAATAAAAGTCTAAAATCCAAATCTGTCAGTGAGGTACAGGATCCTCTTTTCCAGAGATCCACCGAGGCACAAGGAGGAAACAAATCAATCCTTCATCTTTCCTCCCTCAAGAAGGCACAAGAAGCAGCAGCAGTTTCAGCAAGGCCAACCAGCACCACTCAGGATTAAACCACTCCTGCCTGCGTCTGGGACCCTTCATTCATAGCAGGGGGTACAGGAGAACAGAGAGAACCCCCCTCGCTGCAGACACTGCTCAAATAACACTAAAATGAGGAAAAAGAAGTACCTGAAGTCTTGGAAGACTCTTGAACTTAAGGCTTGTTTCAGGTCGAGCTCCCCCTAAGGGGCAGCTCTGCCAGAGAAGCTCCAGACTTTGGTAGTAGGTCAGTTTAGAGGAATGAAAATGTCATTAACAGTATTTTTTTTGATTTTCCTAATAAATGTTTACATCTCCAGGCAAATATATTAAACTGCTCTTTGCTACAAAAATACAGTATTTGAGATCTCCAGTGGTTCCTGACAATTGTAGGCAGACTGCTCACAGGGTGAGAGTCCAGCCAGCTGGTCCAGTCCCTCAGTAAAGTGCTTTGCTGTAGAAAAAGTGAGTTAGAAACTCACCCCTGAGCCAGGGGTGAGAGCCAATAACCCAACGACTTCCAAAGGTGGGAGTGTTTACTTCCACAGAATTAAGGTTGGAAAGCTTTTAAGCTTTGGTCCTCATGAAGCTTTGGTCCTCTGCTCCCCACTCTGTATTCCAACTTCCTTCTAAGCCCTTTATGGACCCTCCCAGCGCTGGTAAATCCCAGAGGGGCAAAGAGGCATCTGATCTTTCTTTTTTCTTTTTTTGATCTTTGACAAGAGCTCGCTTAAAAAAAAAAAAGTCACATTTAGTTTTCAGAGGAAGAGGAGGAGGAGGAAGAGGTTGTGGTGGCTGCTCAGCAGCACTGAGCTGCTCCTGCTGTGGGGTGGGGAGGAGAACATCCCTGTCTCCACTGATTGTCCAGCAAAACCACCACCCCTCAGCTCCACAGGATTCCTCCCCCTCTGAGCAGCAAAGTACCTTTGGTCCAAACCCGTTGCTGCCATTCCTATGGTAGAGACGGACCGTGAACATCAACGTCTCCTACACCAAAAATCCTGCAAAGCTCCCCTTGGAGAGCTCTTTGGAACAACATCCACTTGAACTGAGATTTGCTTCTTCCTTTCTAATCTTTTAACTTAGCTTCAACTTTCAGGGCATTAATTCCTTTTAAATTACAGCCCAGGTCTGAAGCTGGGGCATCTTTGGACTTCTCCAGTGTAGTTAATTATTATTTTAAAAACAATCAAATCTTCAAGCTCTACTGTACAAGGCTCCATATTGCACTACAACTTCAGATATGGAAAGAAGAGTAACTGATCTATCAGAGCTGCTACAAAACAAAACCATTAAAAAAACCAATCTTCCTAAAGGATCATCAGTGCCTTGCTGGGAAGCAAAACACATCAAAAACCCTCCTCCCTTCCATCACTACCAGCCTTTGGATTAATGCCTGATCTTCCCAGACAATGGGAAGAAAACAAATAATAAATATGATAAGGTGACTCCATTACGAGAGCTGATGGAACTACTAATCAACCCGAGAGTTGCTCAAGGCAGAAACAGGAAAAAGGTCATTTTCCAGGGGCGGCACAACCGGCTCCTCACACTCCTCCAGTGGGAGCTCAGCCCTTCTTCTCCAGCACTCCCAGACCCTTCACATCTTCCCAGCTTTTTTGTTCCCAGACATGGAAACGCGGAGGATGTTGGGGGTTTCTTCCATGACCCTGACGAGCAGGTTGTCGATGTAGTCCTCGAGCTCCCGCACCTGGACGTCCTTCCTGGTGATCGTGTCCTTCTGCTTCAGCACCAGCTGGATCAGCTCGTCGTGTGTCAGCTGGGCATAGGCGTAGGCAGGGTCTGAGGGCTCGTATTTCTTGGGGAGAGAAGGAAGGCAGGGTCAGTCCAGGCATTCCAAACCAGCAACAGAACGTGCCCGGGACCGGCCTGGGGAATTCAAAGCACCGGCAAAGGAGTTTACAGATGGCACTGGCAGAGCCACAGCTGCTCTGTGCTCCACACCTTTCAAAAAGCATCAAGCCCCTGCATGATGTCAGTTCTGTAACTCAACCCTGCTGCAGTTTGTGCTGGAGGAATAAGGAATGTCATGGATGTGTGGAAGTTACAGCCATGCCCTGCCCACCACCACCGTTTACAGACGAGCACTGGGACAGCTGTTGCTTAAACAAACCAGAGACTGGGAAAGGCAAATTCAGCTTAAACAGCAAGAAACACCCCTCCAGGCCTTTGGTGTTTCCTCCTATTTCTCTGAAAAGTCTGTTTTTGATGCTCAAGCAACTTGGCAGGTACTGGGCAGCTCCTGCCAACTCCTCCAGCTCCCAGAACACTGCCCAGGCAGGGAATGTGAGCACAACAGGCTCCCATGGTGCCTCACACACAATTTAAATGGAATCAAGAGCACCACAACAAGTTTTTGACTCGCTCAGAACAGCAGTGTGTCAGTCTGAATCACTTCATTCACATCCTCTCCCCTCACACCAGAAGGAGGCACTGCTGTTATTTCAGTTCTAACTTCTCATGTTCCCCAAAATACCCTCAGAGACAATAACAGGGCCCAGGGTTTTCCCTGCTGACCCAGGAATGCTCCCAGCTGTTCAGATCAACTCTACTCTAGATCGGTTTGCAAGAGAATAAAATATTTAAAGACTGTCCCCACCTCTGGGGGCTGACCAAAGGCAAGTTCACACCCAATACAGTCTAATAACCAGGGTTCTTTTTCTGCCCAGGACATGAGATGTGAGCCCAGGCCAATTATCTGGAATACACAAACTCCTCAATCAAACCAAAGCTTAAGCAGTGACAGTGCCACTTCCCTCCATACCTTCACACTCATTTCCAGCAGTTTTTCGTTCATGGTGCCGATGACATTCAGGTTTTTACTCTGAGACTTGTCTGCCATGGCATTCATTGGCTTCACAGGATGGAGTCTGCAACAGGAAAAAAGGGTTTCTGTTGTTTAGGCAGGACATGTAACACCAGCATGACACAGATCTCCTGACTCAAAACAAATACAGCAGGAAGTTGGGGAAGATTCCTACCCTTCTCTGTCTCCTGAGAGAAAAGGTTCAGCTTCAGCAGACAAGGCATTTCTAAGCTATAGGGATTTTGTAGGTATTCTCCAGTTCTCTATGATCTTCACTGACTTAAGGCATTGGAGATAAAGCAGGAGCAGCAGGAAGGGAAATACATCCCGAGTGTGTCATGGAAGGAAAGCCAGGATGGGCTACACGAGGAGGCAGAACACAGGGCAGCTTCTCTGATCTCAGGCACTGCTATTTCAGCCTGACCTTCCTCACCAGAACATATTTGTGGTTCTTGCAACATAATCAAATACTTCCACTATGCTGGGACAAGCGTGTTAGGCCTTTTCCAACCTGAGCTGACACCACGAGCTGCCAAGAAGTGCTGTCGTTACGTGCCTGGGCAAGATTTCTATCACCAGTTTTGACACAGGAAGCAAATTTTACTTCTGTCTCAGCCAGTGCTGGCCCAGAGGTGTCCCAGACCCCAGGCAGGTGAAGCCCCCACGGCTGACAGGTCAGGGGGCACAGCAGGAGCTGCACCACTTGCTGTGATCACCCTGAGGAGCCCCATTCAGCCAGGAAATGAAGCATTGTGGTTCATCAGGGTGACCATTCTCCCACGTCTGAAAAGGGCCCAATTGCAGTCCATTCCCCCAATTGGATGAAATGACCCTATTCACCTGCTGTACTTTCCCTAATGGTTTCCCTGAGAGCTGTGATGAGTGGCTGGTCCCCTCTGGGCACCCTCAGGAGCTGCACAGATCCTTCTGGAGCCAGCAACAGACTCCACAGCACCCAGGCCCTGACAAATCCAGGCCCCAGAGGAAGCCAGGGCTGCCTGATGCCAAGTCCCTGCAAAGAGCAGCAGCAGATCCAGCAGCTGGAGGGACAGGTCTGGAAGCAAAAGCCCAGCTCACACCTACACAGAGATACCTGCTGGGACCCCCACGTGGTCTCACCTGTGCTTGGGAGACACGGTTTCACCACCCCGCAGGGTTTGCTTAGGGAACGTTTCGGAGGGTGAAACCCGTGCCTGGAGAAGCTTCTTCTTGCCCGAATTTCCCGCTTTATCTGCGAAGCCCTCGGCTGTTGGCTTTTTCGGAGACTCTGCTCTACGACTTGGGGTGTCAGAGAGAAGGGAGTGAGAGGAAGAGGAGGGGTGGCAAGGACTCAAGAGGGAGGAAGAGGAAGCAGAAGGCTCAGAGAGGTCACGCTCTGCAGGCTCCTCAACACCCGCACTGGTTTCCAGCTCCTGTTTCTCAAAGTGACTGTTGCACTCCCCGGAATGAGACGTCACACCTAAGCCTGAGTCAGTTCCCTGGATAGTGACCCTGGGAGCACCCATTCCAGCAGGCAGCACGGGTGATCTGCCTGGCTTACAAGCACCAGGAACATCTCCTCCTCCTCCTCCTCCTCCCAGAGCAGCCAGGGTCGTGGGGGCTGCAGCTGAGCTCTCAGAGAGCTCTCCCTGCAAAGGTGCCAGACCTTGGGGCTGCTCTCCAGGCCCTGAAACCCCTTCATCACCTGCAGTGAGCCCACGGCTCTCCTGGCAGTCCCCCAGCAGCTCATCATCAGAGCCTCCCTCCAGGATCACTGGCAAACTGGCCACTTTGGAGCCACGGTCTGCAGGAACGGGAATGGCAGCCCTGAGACTCGTGAGACCAGCAGATAAATCGTCATCACCTTCATTTTTTAAAGGCCTGTCACCTCCAGGTGTCACTGGAGGAGGGACAGTCTCTGAGGAGCCACTTTGGGGGAGGCACCCATGAGCAGCTGAGGCTTCACCAGCAGGTAACAGGAGCCCAGGCGTGGATTTTACATCATCACCTGAAGAAGGAGCATCTAACTCAGCCTGGGAAACCAGTGGGCCCTTCCTCAGTGCCACAGCCCTCCGTGGGGCTGGCTCTGGTGGGACAAGGACCTCACTGCCATCCCTCTCTGCATCTGCTTCCCGAGGGGACACCGAGCAGGCTCCCAGGGCTGCTGATGGGCAGTGCCCTGCTCCCAGCTCCCCACCAAACCCTGCTCGCCCCCCTGCTGCCCCTGGACCCAACCTTCCAGTGGAATCAGAGCACTGCTCTCCACCTTCCTGCCCACTCAAACCTCCACCACCTGCTGTAACACCCTGTGATCCACCCAGGACAAAGGACACGGATTTCCCATCGCCCAGCTGACAGCTTTCCAAAGGATCCTCGGGGTGAAGCTGGGGAGAATCGCAGTGCTGCTTCTGAGCCAGCCCAGGAGGGTCAGAAGGGGGATCAGACAAGGTGCCAAGAGGGTCTGGCACAGCTGTGACATCACTAGTTACAGCCACATCTGCAGAGCCCCCTGAAGCACCGTGACCAGGGTGTCCTGCTGAGGAACAGTCCTCACCACCAGGGAGGCAGGAAGGGGAAGAACCAGTGACACTTTGGAAACCTGGCACACCTGCCTGCCCCCCACGCTTGGACACGAAGGGATTATTGTCATTGAAGTGACAACCAGAGGGGAGGGAAGGTGCAGGAGGGAGAGAGAGACCCCGGGGAGCCCCTGCAGCAGAGCTCTCAGCACCCTGCCCCCAGTCAGCAGCAAAGGGATTATTACCCCTGGCAGAGACCTGCCCAGGAGGAGGTGCTTTGGGAACAGAGGCTGGAAGATGATGGGATGAAGGGAAAGGGGCAATCCCGTCGGGATGCAGGGCTGTGGATGCCCTGTCCCACTCGGGAGCAAAGGGGTTCTTGCCATTCCAAAGCTCTGCAGCAAAAGCAGGAGAAGTGAGAGAGGCAGAAGAACTGGTGATGTTTTCGGAGTCTGGCACTTGGACTTTCTGCCCCGTTTTAGAAACAAAAGGATTATTGGCACTGCTGATACGGTGCACAGAAAGAAAAGCAGGGAGGGGGTCAGGTGCAAGAGTAGGAAGCGTGGCTTTGGGTTCCTCCTCTGGAGACAGGCCCAGTCTGCAAAAAGGGACAAAAAACTCGCATGTCACTTGCAGATGCAACACGAGGCAGGAACAGACAAGCTTTAGCACCAGCCTCCATCACCTCCTGCTACTGGGGATGAATTATATTTGCAAGAGACCTCAGAGCCTGTCTGAGAGACTTTATATCCTTCACTGCATCTTTACAAAGGATTTTATGTCATTTATGTCAGAACTCTTCTGCTGCAGAGCTTGTTTTTGTTGCTTTAAGCACCATCTCTTTGCACCCCAAGCAGGTTTATTAGTACATAAAACACTTCATAGGCAAGAAATTTAAACACGAGAAGCACTGAAAATGAGGAGTTAGGGATACACACAAACCACAGCCTTATTAGTAGGGCATACCTACAGATATATATAAAACCCCAGACACACACAATTTATATATATCTGTGTGTGAAGGATAGAGGAGCAGAATTTCCGAAAAAGCCTTGGTGTACAAACCCACACAAAATCCCTTTGTGTTGCTGTGAATGATGCCAAAAGCAGAAGGGCTCCAAGATTAACCTTTGGAAGACCACAGCCAAGTAGAGAAGAGGAAACCACAGATGTTAGAACAGGCATTTCTGACCCCGGGGAGGTTCCAGTCGCACAGCTCAGGCAGAGTTAGTTTTTGCAGGAGATCCAGTGAGAAAAATCACCCCTGCAGTACCTACACAGGTGGCTGCACTCAGAGAACCACTGCTCTGGCATCACTTACAAGGAGCATTCCTATAGCCATCTTTTCTTTGTACCCAGAAAGAGCCTGGGAGTTATTGGCCACCAAAGCACCCAATTGGCCACCAAAGCGTAAATCCCGCGGGTGCTCCAGAGCCCAGGTGTGGCAGGACACAGCCCACGCCACCACCCTGCCACCACCACTGCCCATCCCAATTCCCACCAGCAGCTGGGACTCACCTGGGCTTCACTGTGGGCCTCACAGCTTTGGTCTTGGCTGGGGCAGCAGCTTTTTCGGGTTTCTGTTCCTCCTCACCAGGGCCGAGCGGCCGCTTGTCTGCAAAGGTGTCTTCTGTGCTCTGAGTGTCTCCTGATGGGTCCCCTCTGCCCAGCTCTGCTGGGGGTTCAAGACATTTGGCCTCCTCTTCACTGTTCTCTTCTGGAATTCTGTTCTCCTCACTCTGCAGGGTCCTGTCGGGAATATTCTCAGCATCTCCCATCTTCCCCACCTCCTTCTTCCCGGTGACCAGGGAGAGCAAGGCAGACTTTTTGTGGTCTGGTTTTTTGGGCTCCCTCACAGCCTCGGTGCTCGGGGGAACGCTGGTGTCCAGGTGCTCCTCACTGCTCAGCAGTTTGTACGACGGCAGAGTCATGGATTTGAAGGTCTCCAAGGACGTGGGCCCAGAGAAAGCCTGGCTAGGAGAGGTTCTTCCTGTCTCTTCGGGTGGTTTGCTGGACCTGGAGGACAGGTTCTCCTCCGAAGCGAAGAGCTGCTTCCTCCTGAAGTTGAGAGGAGAGGGGGAGGAGGCTGGAGTGTTGTCCTTCGTCGTGGTCTCTTCCATATAAACGTGAGTGCCGTTGATGCACAGGCTAGACTTGGAAACGGGATCGCTTTTGGATTTCAGGCCACCGAACAAAGAGAGCCCTTCCTTCTTGGTGTGGTTACTGGTTCCTTGGGTTAGCTGCCTGCTGTCCAAAAGGGCTGTTTTACGAGATTTAAACAGAGGAGAAGGAGCTGGCTTCTCTTCCGGGGCATTTCCAAGGGCTCCTGGGAAAAAAAAAATCAAACAGGGAGAAATTCAAGATACAAGAAAAACCTTTCCTCTGGCACTTGCTACTGACAACCTCAGTGCCAGGAGGGGCTTTCCATGGATTTTTTCAGAAAGAAGAGTTTAACTAGTGCTGTGGAAAGTGTAAACAACCCTTTGGAGAAAGGCTTTGTGCTCACCAGTGCAGCGAGTGCCAATACTCACGTTCTGAGGTCGGAGAGGTCTCAGACTCCTCCTCGTCCCACTGGGGCTGGAAGTCGCTGGGCCGAAGCCGAACCTTCTGGGTGACAGGCTGCTGCGTGGGCAGGACTGACATGGACTGGGACAGGGTCTTCTGCAGCCCAGGTTTGGAGAACAGCGCTTTGAACTTGGATTTCTTCTTTTCCTTTTCCTTCTCGACTGCCTCGTCCTCGCTGTCAGCAGGAGAGTGGGTGGTGCTGGGAACGATCGCCGACGCCGTGTCCGAGAGGCCGCTGCTCCTCTTGCCCTTGAGCTTGTCTTTGAGCTTCCCAAAGGGAGAGCGAGGCTTGTCCTTCATGGACAGGTCAAACATGCTGGCTGTCATGCTGCTCCTCATGAACTGGATGTCCACCTCGATCTCCCCCCTCTCCTTTTCCTTCTTCCCCGGTTTGGAGCGAAGCTTGTACCACCTGCAGCAACAAGGAGACTTCTTTTACCAACCAGTTCCCAAGGCACGGGTAATTGAGAACACAGAGACTGCTTATGTTTGAAAAATCAAATCAGCCTCCAGTGTAGGAAAAGAAAAGCCTTTAATCTGACGAGGACGTCACAGTCACGGCCCCAGGTGCCAAGGAAAACATTCCTTATCGTAAACAGAAAGTTATTAGTGAGGTTTGGTTTGAAACCCAGATCAGGAGGGGTTAAAAAGAAGGAGGAAAAACAGAAACACAATATGGAATTCCTGTATTTCAGCTCAGCCACTCTCCTCTGCCCTTTCATATCTCCTCCTGACACTTGCAGAGGCCACAGCTTTGAAGTGGGAGCCGAGAGCGAGACGAGGCACCAAGAGCTGCACACGCGTCCCACGCCCTCATACCTCTCATTCCAGCTCCCTAATGCCTCTTAAGCCAAGGAACCTCTAATCAGCAGGAGAGAGCCAACCCCAGCCCTGCAGACTGCTGGGGATTTCCACCCACCTCCCCCAGCTCGTGACTGAGCAGGGAGCACCAGGAAGGACATTGCTCAGACAGAGCCACATCCCTTCCCAAAACCTGGCTCCAGAACGTCGAGCTCCGTGGGGTGAGTGCTCAGGGCATCCCAAACCACAATCCCACCATCCACACGCCCTCAACCACCACGCAGTGACTCTCAAACCACATGTGGGCCAGGAAAGAGAATTATCAGCCATGCACACCACTGTGGTTTTGCCTGTTGCTGGAGCCGCAGAATTCCCAACTCCACAGAACCCACGGGAAAGGCTGCCTGGAAAACGCTGCTTTCTTGCTCCTCACCAGATGGAACAGGAAAATTATGGAAGGAAACGGAGCATGCAAATGTGCCTCGCCATCAAATTTGCACTTCAACCTCTGAAGGTGCACTGGAAGCAACAAGAAAGAGAACAGGAAAAGGCAATTTGCTCCAGAGAAAATTCAAAAGTAATGAGGATTACTGAAGGAGATGGATTCAGGAATCTGCTACACTTCAGAGGGATATACAGAAGAAATTCTTCCCTGTGAAGGTGGTGAGGCCCTGGCACAGGTTGCCCAGAGAAGCTGTGGATGCCCCATCCCTGGAAGGCCAGGTTGGATGGGGCTTGGAGCACCCTGGGATAGTGGAAGGTGTCCCTGCCCATGGCAGGGTGAGCTTTAAGGTCCCTTCCAACCCAAACCATTCTGTGATTCTATAATTCTAAATGAACTCTTGAGCTACAGTCAGATGCTCCAGCCTGGAGTTACAAGGTACCAAGGGAAGGGATTTTATCAAGAGACTGAGGCTTTGCCCAGTCCCTGAGGCTGCAGCCTGGGAATCACAAATCCTTTGCCTTTAATGTGAGCCAGCACTGGGCACTTTTGTTCCAAACCCGTGGTTTCTAGGAGCATCCTGTGCTCGCAGGGCTTCGGTGCCACAATGGATCCCGTGTGCTCCCTGCCCGGGAGCAAACGACGTGTTCAGCAAAGGCAGCTCAGCCCCGACCAAACACAGCCCCACTGGAAGGAAATCACAGACTGACAACCCCCCAAACCACAAAAAAACCCTCATTAATGGCGTTTATCGTGTTCGTGAGCACCTGCAGATCAACACATATTTACTCTCCAAATAAAACCAGCCCTTCACAGCCACACATCACCGTGGGAGCCAGGACAAAACAGGCCTCAAACAGGAAACTGAGGGCTGGAAACGACCGAAAATATCAGGAAATTTCCCCAGGAGCACCGAAGTCGTGTTTTCTTTTCTCCTCCCCCTCAATTTTCCTTTGCCCAGACAGACACAAAGGCACCCGCCGGGGGCCCGAGGCGCTGGCTCTGCTGACCGAGGGCACGCTGGGCTCTGCAGTGTAAACACAGCAGTGCCTGACACAGCCTTAATGAACCCGCGGCTTAATTAAGCCTTGACAAGGGGCGGCAGCCCCTGGCCCTGCTCAGGTGAGCCAGAGGAGGAAGGTGACTCACCAGCCACATTACAAGGCTGCTGACTCCCAGTAAAACCCTCCCGGGCACCACCCCTGGATTTCACCGCCCCACTGTTTATGTTCAAAGCAGCGAGTGTGACACAGAGCTGGAGCTGGGCATTAATGACCCCGGCTCGGTGTCCTGCTGACAGCAGCCAGGGCAGCCCGTGGAAATATCCACCCTGGCATGTGCTAAGTGTTTATTAAGGAAAATAAATAAAGAGCTTGGCGGAGCCTGCGCTCGTTCCCCGCTGCAGGGAGGCGGCATTCCGAGGACACCAGGTTTCGGGAGCCAGCCCGGCTGTTCCCTGTGTACAGTGTCACTACACACACAGAAATAGTGAAAAATCAAACCCAAGGACCAGGCAGGACTGCCTGGAAAAGCTCTGGCCACATTTCCCCAGGGTCCCTGGCCTCTTCCAGGAGCTATCGGGGGCTCACCCACACTGGGGGGAGACCCTGCCCCGAGGGGTCACCCCGTGGGCAGTCATGGGGCTTGAGGGGTCCCCGTGGGGCGTGTGTGTCCCCCAAGAGAATCCCAGTCCCCTATGGGGCATAAGGGTTCCCCCCCAGACCCACACATGCCATGAGGAACAGGGACATCCCATGGGGAACTGGGGTTTACCCTCGAGGAGCAGAGAGGGCCCCCTCAACTTCCTCCCCGGACCCTGTGGGGCACAGAGTCCCCCTTTCATCCCTCTCCCCAGCTCCCGTGGAACACAGAAGCCCC